TCTCTCTATGACAGTGTTTATGTGTGTGTGTTTGAGTGTGTGTGTGTGTGTGTGTGTGTGTGTGTGTGTGTGTGTTCTTGTGTGTGTGTGTGTTTTTATAGCGGTTTGAAACAGGGTATGGACTGAGGGGGATTGTTACACAACAGAAGATTAGTAGATGGCTTTTTTGGGCGCCCCCCCCTGCCTGTATGCCAGCAGTCAGTATTCAGGATTTAATGTTATTAGGCTGTGCTAATTGGCTCTAAATCTTGATACCCATTAAATAGTCAAGTTTCTTTGAGATCTGAGAATGTTTAACAGTTTATTTTGTTGTATAATTATGTTGTAATTCAATCCATAACTACAAATTATATTTTAATTCCCTAACTTGCCTTAAAGCATGGTAAACTTGCAGTAGAGGGAGGGGATGTTGTGATGTAAGCTAAGATTAAACTTTGTCATGGGTGGGTGGCAGAGGAGGTTCACACACACACACACACACACACACACACACACACACACACACACACACACGCACGCACGCACGCACGCACGCACGCACGCACGCACGCACGCACACACACACACACACACACACACACACACATTGTCCAACACCAAGTATATAAGATAAGATAGATTTTTCAGCATTTTCAACATAATTAATATTTTCAGCAATACAAAAAGGAAAAACACATGATAAACACACATTTTTGCTTGGTCTGTTGTCTTTCTAAATAAATATTTGAATGAAGGAATTACAATTGAACATGTCTTTTATTTATCTTAACCTAAACCACACCAGCTAGATCTGTATAGGTTTATTAAGCAATACTATTTTTGCAGCTTCAGCGAGAGCTACTGACCAAAAAGGACCCATGTGTCATGCTATGCTCACAGTACTCACTGTCTGCTTTTGTCTTTGTATCTTATGAGCAGCCGTTGTGTATCGAGGAGACACGTTTCAGTACGTGGTGCCGCGGCCTGGCTTCAGGCGAACAGGTAGACCTGCTGGGCCAGAAGCTGTTTCTACTATTCAATATCTGTGTCCCACCATCAGTGAAATGTTTTCACATTCCCCAGTGATCTTTTATCATTGGGAAACAGTCACCCATCCAGCCACAGAGGAAGCATGCATCTTCAATCTCTCCATGTGTGCAACTTTCATATGAATATGTTGTTTGTTGTCAGGGCCATTTTTATTGTCGAACAGCTTGCTTGTGTTTCATCATTCCACCAACTTAGTTTGACCCCTAAACCTGCAGTCATGATTTATTTTATAATCAACTGTTATAAAGAAATGTAAAGAAGTATGTAATAAACATCATGTATCTTTATTGACATGAACAGGTGCTTCTGAAGTTGGCAGTGGGGATTACGGCCGTTACATCACAGACTCAGGAGACAAAGATGAAGATGGCTTTGACATTGATGACTCTGATTATGACATCTTTATTGAGGAGGTGGGTGATTGAAACCACAGCTTGACATGGATACCAATTTTAGGCACATCAATCATTATTAATCCTCTTCTTTTTTTCCTAGTTAAAGCCATTCCCAGGAATCAATAAAGACAACAGGAAGTCCCAGCTCCGTTCACGCCCTGATAGTCCATCTGGCCGTAACGTTGTTTATCGTATGAACACCATCGCTCCCCGCAACGTTACTGCTACGCCTGCTTCCTCCACCACCTCATCTATCTTCCCAGATTTCACAGATCTGGTTTTCTCATCCACCTCAGAGCCCAGGACCACCAGTTACACAAAAACCACGGCCCCACTGAGCACCACCAGGTAAGATTTAAAACCTTATTTTACCTTGATAATCGATTTTACTGAAGGGTTTACATTGATTATACTATTGATGTTCATCAGCAGCTGGAGGCCGTTATGGCCTCTCTTTTAAAGAAAGGATTTCCTTATGTTTCTTAATGTTTAAACAAAAAACAGTCTCCTCCCTAAGCTTGGATGTGGGACAGCACCTGACAGCGTGAGAGTCTGGGATGATGGAGATGGAGATCAACGGATTAATTTACATTATTATATTTGCTGTAGTCAGCTGCTGGTGGTGGGGATGGGTGATTGATATTAAAACACACACACACATTCACAAAGGTGTGTACTTCACACACACACACATACAAGCAATGTCCTAATGGTTTAGGGACCATGACATTCAAACAATTTACTTGAAGATGTGAAGGCATAATGTCATGCTCTGTGAGAGTGGATGCTTCTTCATGTCAGACTATTGGGAGTAAAGTTAAGAGGACTATTCATCAAATAAATCAAACAGCCATGTAGACACAATCACATTATCCAGACTTTTGTCTGTGACCTACAGACCTCACTGCTCACTCGCTGCATGTGAGCGGGCGGCTTGAGCGTCACACGCTATGTTAGCTGTCAACTGGTGTAAACTACTCCGATTAAATTAAGTGCCCTAAGTCCTGCTAGACTGCTCTGAGACACAGAGACAAAGCTACAAAGCCACACAGCAAGGGAGGTAATAATAGAAGGAACTTGTAAAGAAAAATGTCAATAAAAGTTACATGAAGCCAAATCAGATAAGGCGGTTAGACAGACAGACGGACAGACAACAACGAAGAGATGGAAAAACCTGGTTCCTTAGCGGGGGATAAAAGCGGGTTACGCTCGATTCTCATCAGACAGGATTAAGGACGGGATGCCAGCAGACCCCTTCCCTGCCTATGCACAGCCCTGATCAATGCACACACACACACACACACACACACACACACACACACACACACACACACACACACACACACACACACACACACACACACACA